CTGTGTTTACAGATAAATAATTAATTGCCTGGCACAGATGGGATTTATGGAGATGCTTAAGATTATAAATACTTTAAAGAGGCCGTCATGTTTACTAATGTATAAGAAGGGCTAGGTTTACAAATCATTTATGCATAGGGTAGGATTGAAAATGTACATAAAGGTCATGGATGGGAATTTATTCATTAAATTAGGGATTCCACCGTTTGGAAAACATTGCTCCACACACGCAAAGCTGAGTTCAGTGGTCTTCTTTAATGGTCTACTTTTGCTGAAGTTGCAAGATTTGGTTGCCACCAAGAAAATAAGTACAGAACAAATTGGAACCACATATAATCTTAGGCTGGATGACCTCAAGAGGTCATCAAGTCCAGTCCCCTGCACCAAGGCAGGACCACATTAACTGAGATCATCCTTGACAGCTGACTGTCTAATCCAGGGTCGGTAACCTTTCAGAAGTGGTGTGCCGAGTCTTCGTTTATTCACTCTAATTTAAGGTTTTGCGTGCTAGTAATACATTTTAATGTTTTTAGAAGGTCTCTTTCTATAAGTCTATAAATATATAACTAAACTATTGTTGTATGTAAAGTAAATAAGGTTTTAAAAATGTTTAAGAAGCTTCATTTAAAATTAAATTAAAATGCAGAGCCCCCCGGACCGGTGGCCAGGACCCAGGCAGTGTGAGTGCCACTGAAAATCAGCTCGTGTGCTGCCTTTGGCACGTGTGCCATAGGTTGCCTCCCCCTGGTCTAACCTGTTTGTAAAAACTTCCAATGATGGGGATCCCACAGCCTCTCTTGAAAGCCCATTTCAGTGCTTAACTACTACTATTGTTAGAAAAAAGCAACAGAGAGTCCTGTGGCACCTTTAAGACTAACAGAAGTATTGGGAGCTCCAATACTTAAAGGTGCCACAGGACCCTCTGTTGCTTTTTACAGATTCAGACTAACATGGCTACCCCTCTTATACTATTGTTAGAAAGTTTTTCCTAATATCTAACTTAAATCTCCCTTGCTGCACGTTAAGACCATTACTTCTTGTCCTACCATTAGCAGACATAGGGAATAATCAATCACTGTTCCCTTTATAACAGCCCTTAACATATTTGAAGACAGTTATCAGGTCTCTGCTCCATCTGTCTTCTTTTCTCAAGACTAAACATGCCCAGTTTGGTCACGTTTTCTAAACCTTTTATCATTTTTGTTGCTCCTCTCTGGACTCTCCAAATTGTCCATAACTTTCTTAAAGCATGGCACCCAGAACTGGACACAGTACTCCAGCTGAGGGCTCACTTGTGCTGAGTAGAGTGGGTCTATTACCTCAAGTGTCTTGCCTGTGACACTCTTGTTAATATACCCTAGAACAGGGGTCTCAAACTCCCGGCCTGCGAACCTCCCCAATGTGGCCCGAGGGACTCCAGCAGTTTTGGGGCCGGGTCTCTCTCTTGGCCCCACCTGCTGCCCCTGGGCCCTCCCCCCTCAGGGGCCCCGGCAGCACAGCGGAGCTGAGCAGCGTCTGCCTGCTCACTCCAGTGGCTGCCGGCCCCTCCCTGCGGCCCAGGGGCTGGGGAGGCTGTGCCTCCACTTGCTGCCCCTGCTCCGAGCGCCCCTGCAGCCAATGGGATGCTGCGGGGGCGGTGTCTGGGGGCAGAAGCACGCAGAGGTCCCCCCCAGCCCGCCTTGCCTTGAAACCCCAGGTAAGCACCGCACCCCTGACCCCCTCCCAGAGCCTGCACCCCCACTCCCTCCCCACATCCCCCCTTCCCGCCTGCTTGCATGTTTGTAATTATAATAAACTAAATTATGGCGAAAAAATGATAAATAGCATTCTGAAATCATGTACCTTACACATTCCTATTATCTCCGTAGTTTTACAGCATGTAGGTACTTTTATAATACAGCAATGTAGCTAGAGCATATGGATAGGTGCCCATTTAGAGTGTATAAATCCAAATAAATAAAATTATCTAAAACAATACAAAAGTATAAAGTAAAATAAATAATGAAATCTTAGCAAAGACTTTTAAAAAAAGGACACTTAACGCCCCGTTAATTCTGTAGCAATCTAAGAGACTGGGCAGGCCAGAGAAGCAAAACTACAAGCAATAAAAAACTTTTCTACCCCTAAGTTCTTGTTATGCTCTAGCTGTTTACTGGCCTTTGTGAAATGAGGTGGTGGTCTCAGTCCAGTTCCTAGGGGACAGACGTCCTTTATATCACAAACACTATACGTAGTATTGGTTGCACGTTTCAAGCCATAGAGGTGCAAATGTTAGTATTGAGACTGTCTTTAAGGATCAAATCTTTCTCCCACTGATTTAAGAAGGGGCATAATGGAGCCCTAACTAGAAAAGTATAGTAATTATGAAAGCATGACACATTATCAAGATTTTAAAATTTCATCTACCATTAAATCTCTCCCATTATCATAGCAATTTTGTCACCCCTTTGTCCTTTCATATTTAGCTTTTGGATGACAAAAGGCAGAAACATTTTAATCTCTTTCATAAAAGACAATTTATTTCTTGTTTCATTTACAAAATAATGATATACATCCACTCGAGTCACAAACCGTTGAAAAATCTGATAAAACGTTATCATTTAAATACTGTACAAGAAAAATACTGGCTATTTCTTCACATTTACATTTAGTGAAGGTAACAGAAGGTCTGAATCCCATTTCCAATTAAAAGTATTAATTTAAGGCTTGAGATCTGGCACCTCTGAGGAAAAATAAATTCATAAATCCCAAGATGAGGATTGGCTGTGCAGCAGCATTTCATGTAAGTTGGTTTCAACATACTGATTTGTGCTCTTTTTGTTTTGATATGATATCGGTACTGGCAATCAAAGCTGTTTTCCAAATATCATTAAATTCTGATAGGTCAACTGAGTTATGCAGTGAGCAGGATAATGTTCACCCTGAAATACAAACTGGACTCATTACATTGCTTTTTCTCTCCTTCAACAGAATACCTGCCTCTCTCTAGAGCAGGGGTGGGCAAACTTTTTGGCCCGAGGGCCACATCTGGGTATGGAAAGTGTATGGCGGGCCAGGAATGCTCACAAAATTGGGGGTTGGAGTGCGGGCTCTGGGGTGGGGCCAGAAATGAAGAGTTCAGGCTGTGGGAGGGGGCTCCAGGCTGGGGCATGGGGTTGGGCTGCGGGTGGGGAGTGAGGGCTCTGGTGGGCGGTGCGGGCTCTGGCGTGCAGGAGGGTGGGACTGAAGGGTTCGGAGGGCAATCAGGGCTGGGGCAGGGGGTTGGGGCGCAGGAGGGGGTCAGGGGTGCAGGCTCCTGGTGGCGCTTACCTCAAACTCCTGGAAGCAGCGGCATGTCCCCCCTCCGGCTCCTACGCCGAGGCGCAGCCAGGCGGCTCTGTGCGCTGCCACGTCCGGAGGCAACCGTGGCCAATGGGAGCTTCGGGGGCAGCGCTTCCTGGCTGTCCCTATGCATAGGAGATGGAGGGGAACATGCTGCTGCTTCCAGGAGCCACGGCATGCGTGGAGCGGGCCAAGCCCTGGACCCCGCTCCCCGGCAGGAGCTCGAGGGCTGGATTAAAATATCTGCAGGGCCAGATGTGGCCCCCGGGCCATAGTTTGCCCACCCCTGCCCTAGTGGCTCATATAAATATATTCAAAGGATGTTAGATGAAATTAGACATTTTTGTCCATCTTAAAGAGGAAATTCACAAGTCTACAAACTGAATGATGCCACAACTATTCCAATCCCATATTTTATCTTTTCTTCAATTTTGTCTGGATCAGAATACAGTACTGATCTCCCATTTCTGGGAATGTTCCCCGTTTGAAATACTTCTCACACAATGTATGTACTGAAAGGAAACTATCACAAATTTCCTGGGGCTTCAAGTTTCATTCTTCTCCCCCCCCCTAACCTTGCACATTTTCTTTAAATCTGCAGAGCTCTGAATGGGATTTTTCTTATGTTTGGGGTTTAAAAATGAACCTCAAGGTGCTCTTGGTGATGTCAGATTTTCAGTCTGTCCTAGTCTGAGACTTGGTGTATTTCCACATATAATGCGTTAAAGCAACTGTCTCCTGCAAAGCTGCAGTTTTCACAGTGTGATATGTTTTGAGTGTCTTAGAACTGGCAATACTCAGCTTTCAGTCACTTTTTTTTTTCTTTTTTGGTCACTTAACAGTTTCCAATGCTCAGGCGGCTTGTGTTGTTCTTAACTTCCTATTGGCACTTTTTTGCTAAACAGAGATGAGCTCGGAGGGTGATTACTGCCACCTTCTCTCTCTCTCTGCAGCTGTGCTGGGCTCATTTCAGCGGCTCTCCCCTGCACCTTTGATCCCCCGTTGAAATGGGGAGAGCCAGCGCACCTGCCCCCGGGTACTTCCTTTGTCTCCCACGCTGGCATTAAGAACTGGAGCAGACCCACTAGCGCATCCAGTGCAGCCCCCTGGTTACTGCACATTGCTCCCCGGAAACTAGGCTGAGCAAAGCCCTAGTTACAAACGGCCCAAGCCACAGGTCTCCCGGTCCTTCCCGTGGGCACCTGTTCCACAGCCCGAGCCAGCTCGCTGTCAGGCAGCTTTTCCCAGCGGGTCCCCCCCGGCCGCTTCAGAGGCTGGTATCAGCGGTGTCGGATTTGGGCGGCAGGGCAGCCTGGGAGGCCGTGTCGGGCTGCGCGTCGCGGCAGAAGAGCACGGCCGGGTTCTTGCAAGCCCACATGGCCACCTCGCCGCCGCTGGCCGGGCTGGAGGAGGAGAGGGTGCTGGCGGCGTGGCCGCCGGGCCGCTGCTGGGCGTAGCGCTCCCGGCCTGGCTCGGCCCGGCCGCGGGCCTCCAGGCGCTGGCCCCGGGCGGCCAGGTAAGCGGCCACGTTGTTCCTAGTCCGGTAGCCGCCCTCGCGGCTGCGGCCCAGCAGCATGGCGATGTTGGGGTTGCGGGCGGCGTAGATGAGCGGGTTGATGGCGCCGTTGGCCCAGGCCATCCAGCTGGCCACGGCGTCCACGGTGGGCGAGAAGGGCAGGTGGCCGGCGGCGGCCGCCAGCCCCAGGACGCAGTAGGGCCCCCAGCAGCAGATGATGGAGACGATCATGATGAGCACGGTGGTGGCGGTGCGCATCTCTCCGTAGCAGCGCAGCAGGTGGCCGTAGGTGGTGAGCGGCCGCACCCGGCTCTCGGAGAGGCGCACGGCCCGGCAGATGTTGTAGTGGCAGAAGCACATGAGGGCGAAGGGCAGCAGGTAGCAGAGCACGATCAGCACCGCGCTGTAGGGCGGGCCCAGCCGCGACGAGCCCCAGGGCAGCAGCACGTAGGTGCAGCGGCCCGAGCCGGCCCCGTGGCCCCCGCCCGCCGCCTGGGCCAGCAGGTACCAGGGCGCGGCGAAGCCGAGCGCCGCCAGCCAGACGGCGGCCAGCAGCTGGGCGGCGCGGCGGCGGCCCATCTTGCGGCGGGGCTGGCGCACGATGGCGCAGTAGCGGTCGAAGGCGAGCAGCGCCATGGTGAGGGTGGCGGCGATGCCCAGGCCGGCGTGCAGGGCGGCGCTGGCCAGGCACAGGCGCCGGCCGGAGAGCCAGGCGCCGCGCGGGCGGCTCAGCAGGCGCAGGAAGGCGAGGGGCAGGCAGAGCAGCGCGCCCAGCAGCTCGGAGAGCGACAGCGACAGCACGAAGGCGTTGGTGACGGTGCGCAGCTGCCGGTGCCGGGCGATGACCAGCACCACGGCCCCGTTGCCCAGCGCCGACAGGGCGAAGATCAGCACCAGCAGCAGCGCCTGCGAGGCCAGCGCCGCGCCCGACCAGCCCGCCTCCTCCGCCCCGGCGGCGGGGTCAGCTGCCGGCGCCTCCCCGCCGCTCTCATTGCCCCCCGCCCGGGACAGGGCGCTCAGCAGCGCCGGGCTCGCCGACGGCGGCTCCATAAGCGGCGAGCATCCCCTTCCCCGCCGCCCCGGGGAGAGCGGCAGGCGGGGGAGGAGGCTCGGCTCGAGGCCGGCCCAGGGGTTGGGGTCCCGGCTGCAGCGGGGACGCGGAGCCGCGCTTGGGGCTGTTGCTCCCCGCCCGGCCTGGCGGGCTTTGTGCTCTGCCTGCCGCGCGCCCGCGCCCCCCGCTGCGTGCGGGCTTCGGGGGCTCCGGTAGCCGCTGACGTCTCCAGCCCGTTGCCCAGGGAACCGAGTCCGGCCTGCCCGATTGCGCACACGGGGCCCGGCGGGAGTCAGCGGCGACCCCCGCGCTGCCGAGACCCCTGGTCGCCCGCAGGGCTGGGACCGTGCGTGCCCCCGACACACACAGACAGCCTCCGACGGACACCCCCAACAGACTGACACATATCCCCAACAGACACCCCCGACACACACACACCGACAGACACACCCCGAACACACACACCCTAGTGACTGACACACATATCCAACAGACACCCCAACCCACACACCCCTCAACAGCCTGACACACACAGCTAATAGACACCCCCTGACAGACGCATCCCAGCACAGACGCCCCTCAACAGACTGACACACATAACCAACACACATACACAATCACCCAATACAGACACATACCCCCAGTATGTGTATACACATACCCCAATACAGACACAACCCACACACCTCCCCAACAGACTGACACACATCCCCAACACCCCCAATAGAGACACCGCCAATAGACGGACACACATACCCAGCAGACACCCCTCAACAGACTGACACACATATCCAACAGACCCTCCCACACAGACACACCTCAACAGACTGACATACCCAGCTGATACCTCGACAGACATCTCTCAACAGACTGACACACATCCCCAACACAGACACCCCCCAAAAGACTGACACACCTACGCAACAGACACCCCCCCAATACAAACACCCCTCAACAGATTGACATGTATACATCCCCAACAGCAGGGTCATGTGCAGAAATTTTACTTTGACCCCTTGGGGGAGAGGGGGCTGCACTCCGGCAGGAGCTCGCTTTTCCCTCCCTCCGCCCTGCCCTGGGTCCAGCAGGAGCTCCCTCTCTCTGCCACTGCAGCCCCGGGGCTGGAGGAGCTCCCTCTCTGTCACCGCGTTCCCGGTGCTGGAGGAGTTCTGTGCCCCCAATGATTATGGGAGATTTCCTTGCTTGCCCCCCTTGTGTATGCCCCTCTCCAACAGACACCCCCTGACAAACACCCCCAAACATAGACACCTCCAACAGACTGACACACCCAACAGACTGATATACATACCCAATGTGGCCATCCCGAACACACACACAGACACCACCTGACACACACACACCCATACAGATAGGCACCTACACACCAGACACCCCGTGGACCGCAGCACAAACATACCTCAGCACACAGACCTCAACACCCAGACATACTCCCCAAGACACAGAGACATACACAACACCCCCAACAGCAGATCCCACAACAAATGACGAGACAGCATACCCACAACAAACACAGATTCCCAGCACACACACAGACATATCCACGACAGACCACCCCCATAGATAGACACACCCCAACAGACAACCCCCAACACACACAGACATATCCCCAACAGACACCCCAACACAGACACACATCCACACACGAACAGACACCCCAACACAGTCCCCAATACACAATCATCCCGATAGACACCCCCAACACAGACAGACATAACCCAGACATCCACACACCCCAGTGCACACACCTCCAACAGACGCCTCCCAGCACACACAGCCATACATACCCCCAACACACACACACACACAGCCCCCCAGACATGCAGACCCAAATAACCCCAACACACAGATATACCCCGACAGACAAACACCCCCACACCCCACAGATACACCCAGCACACAGATCTCCCCCAGCAAATACTCCTAACACACACACAGACATACCCCAAAGGCAGACACACAGAGACACCCACCCCAACACAGACACCTTCCAACACACACAAACATTCAGCACATACCAAGACACTCCCACCACACCCCCAGGAACCCCACTACCACACACACACAGCATAGAGACAGCTCACACACACACCCCTCCCCCAACACAAAGATAGACAGGGGCTGGGAGCCTGGGACTAGCTACTACCCCCCAACACAGACACACACAAAAAGGCAGGACACTGGAGCAGCCGTCCTGTTATCTCACACACATATACACAGGGGCTGGGACTGTCAGTCCCCTGCCCCATACACAGATACAGACAGGGGAGTGGGACCACCCTGCCCACACACATGCGCACCCCCACCCTGTCTTTCCTCAGTGAGCTGGGCACACCCCCACCCCACCCCCACTCCCTCACTGATGAGGTGGCCAAGTGGCTAAGGTGCTGGACTGCTAATCCATTGTGCTCTATATGCATGGGTTCAAATCCTATCCTTGTCAGATGCATTTTGTCTTTTCTGCAGAAAAGGTCCTGGGGATTACAGTGGACAAGAAGCTGGATATGAGTCAGCAGTGTGCCCTTGTTGCCAAGAAGGCTAATGGCATATTGGGCTGTAGTGTAGGAGCATTGCCAGCAGATCGAGGGAAGTGATTATTCCCCTCTATTTGGCACTGGTGAGGCCACACCTGGAGTATTGCGTCCAGTTTTGGTACCCCCACTACAGAACGGATGTGGACAAATTGGAGAGAGTCCAGTGGAGGGCAATGAAAATGATTAGGGGGCTGGGGCACATGACTTAAGAGGAGAGGCTGAGGGAACTGGGGTTATTTAGTTTGCGGAAGAGTGAGGGGGGATTTGATAGCAGCTTTCAACTACCTGAAAGGGGGCTCCAAAGAGGATGAAGCTAGGCTGTTCTCAGTGGTGGCAGATGACAGAACAAGGAGCAATAGTCTCAAGTTGCAGTGGGGGAGGTCTAGGTTGGATATTAGGAAACACTATTTCACTAGGAGGGTGGTGAAGCACTGGAATGGGTTACTTAGGGAAGTGGTGGAATCTCCATCCTTAGAGATTTTTAAGGTCTGGCTTGACAAAGCCCTGGCTGGGATGATTTAGTTGGTGTTGGTCCTGATTTGAGCAGGGGATTGGCCTAGATGACCTCCTAAGGTCTCGTCCAACCCTGATATTCTATGATTCTAATAGGAACTGAGACGACTGCTCCCCCACAACAGACCTTCCTATCCCCCTAAACAGATTGTGTGTATGTGAGGAGCCCAGCACCCCCAACACACAG